AAGTTTCTTCCTAGGTATTTTATTTTTTAGACATAGTTTTAAACAGGATTATTTTCTTGCTTTCTCTTTCTGATCATTATTAGTGTATTAAAAAACAAATAGATTTCTGTATATTAATCTTATATCTTGCAACTTACTTGAATTCACTTATTCATATAGTTTTTTGTGAAGGCTTTAGGATTTCCTATATAGAGTGTCATGTCATCTGCAAGAAGTTCCATTTTACCTCTTCCCTCCCAATTTGGATGCTTTTTATTTATTTATTTACTTTTTGGTCAGATTTCTGTGGCTAGGATTTCTAATACTGTGTTAAGTAAAAATGGAGAGAGTGGACATCCTTGTCTTGTTCCTAATTTTAGAGGAAAGGCATTTCGCTTTTCACTGTTGAATGTAATGTTGGATTTTATAATACAGCTGTGGATTTGTCTTAAATGGCCTTTGTTATTTTGAGATGTGTTCCCTTTCTACACAGTTTGATGAGATTTTTTATCATGAATGATTGTTGAATTTTGTCAGATGCTTTTGCTGCATCTATTGAGATGATCATGTGATTTTTATCCTTCCTGTTGTTAATGTGGTGCAGCACATTCATTGATTTGCAAATATTTAAGCATCCTTGCATCTTGGAATAAATCCTGCTTGATCATTGTGTATGATTCTTTTAATATATTGTTGAGTTAGGTTTACTAATATTTTGCTGACAATTTTTCCATCTACATTAATCAGATATTGGCCTATAATTTTCTTTTTTTGTGTTATCTTTGTCTGCTTTTGGTATCAGGGTTATGGTAGCTTCTTAGAATATATTTTGGAGTTTTCCCTCCTCTTACATTTTTTGGAATAGTTTGAGATGGATAGATATTAATTCTCTTTTATGTGTTTTCTAAAATTACCCTATGAAGCCATCTCCCCCATGGACTTAAGTTTGCTGGGAGTTTTTTTTAAGTTACAAATTCAATTTTAATAATACTGAGTCATCTGTTAAGATTGTCTATTTCATTCTGATTTAGTCTTGACGGGTTTATTTCTGATTTAGTTTTGACGGTTTATTTCTAGAAAATTTTCCATTTCTTCTAGGTTGTCCAAGTTGTTGGCATATAACTGTTCATGGTATTCTTTTTTTTTTTTTTTGTATCTCTATGGTATTTGCTGTTGTTTCTCCTCTTTCATTCCTTATTTTGTTTATTTGAGCCCATAAAATAGAAAAACTCTTCAGTTCAGTTCAGTCACACAGTCGTGTCCGACTCTTTGCGACCCTATGAATCACAGCACGCCAGGCCTCCCTGTCCATCACCAACTCCCGGAGCTTACTCAAACTCATCCCCATTGAGTCGGTGATGCCATCTAGCCATCTCATCCTCTGTCGCCCCCTTCTCCTCCTGCCCCCAATACTTCTCAGCATCAGGGTCTTTTCCAATGAGTCAACTCTTCCCATGAGGTGGCCAAAGTACTGGAGTTTCAGCTTCAGCATCAGTCCTTCCAATGAACACCCAGGACTGATCTCCTTTAAGATGGACTGTTTGGATCTCCTTGCAGTCCAAGGGACTCTCAAGAGTCTTCTCCAACACCACAGTTCAAAAGCATCAATTTTTCGGCGCTCACCTTTCTTCACAGTCCAAATCTCACATCCATACATGACTACTGGAAAAACCATAGCCTTGATCAGACAGACCTTTGTTGGCAAAGTAATGTCTCTGCTTTTTAATATGCTATCTAGGTTGGTCATAACTTTCCTTCCAAGGAGTAAGCGTCTTTTAATTTCATGGCTGCAGTCACCATCCAGAGTGATTTTGGAGCCCCCCAAAATGAAGTCTGACACTGTTTCCACTGTCTCCCCATCTATTTCCCATGAGGTGACGGGACCGGATGCCATGATCTTAGTTTTCTGAATGTTAAGCTTTAAGCCAACTTTTTCACTCTCCTCTTTCACGTTCATCAAGAGGCTTTTTAGTTCCTTTTCACTCTCTGCCATAAGGGTGGTGTCATCTGCATATCTGAGGTTATTAATATTTCTCCCAACAATCTTGATTCCAGCTTGTGCTTCATCCAGCCCAGCATTTCTCATGATGTACTCTGCATATAAGTTAAATAAGCATGGTGACGATATACAGCCTTGACTTACTCCTTTTCCTATTTGGAACCAGTCTGTTGTTCCATGTCCAGTTCTAACTGTTGCTTATTGACCTGCACACAGATTTCTCAAGAGGTGGGTCAAGTGGTCTGGTATTCCCATCTCTTTCAGAATTTTCCACAGTTTATTGTGATCCACACAGTTGAAGGCTTTTGCATAGTCAATAAAGCAGAAATAGATGTTTTTCTGGAACTCTCTTGCTTTTTCGATGATCCAGCAGATGTTGGCAATTTGATCTCTGGTTCCTCGGCCTTGTCTAAAACCAGTTTGAACATCTGGAAGTTCATGGTTCACATGTTGCTGAAGCCTGGCTTGGAGAATTTTGAGCATTACTTTACTAGCGTGTGAGATGAGTGCAATTGTGCAGTAGTTTGAGCATTCTTTGGCATTGCCTTTCTTAGGGATTGGAATGAAAACTGATCTTTTCCAGTCCTGTGGCCACTGCTGAGTTTTCCAAATTTGCTAGCATATTGAGTGCAGCACTTTCACAGCATCATCTTTCAGGATTTGAAATATTCAACTGGAATTCCATCACATCTACTAGCTTTGTTCGTAGTGGTGCTTTCTAAGGCCCACTTGACTTCACATTCCAGGATGTCTGGCTCTAGGTGAGTGATCACACCATTGTGATTATCTGGGTCATGAAGATCTCTTTTGTACAGTTCTTCTGTGTATTCTTGCCACCTCTTCTTAATATCTTCTGCTTCTGTTAGGTCCATACCATTTCGGTCCTTTATCGAACCCATCTTTGCATGAAATGTTCCCTTGATATCTCTGATTTTCTTGAAGAGATCTCTAGTCTTTCCCATTCTGTTGTTTTCCTCTATTTCTTTGCATTGATTGCTGAGGAAGGCTTTCTTATCTCTCCTAGCTATTCTTTGGAACTCTGCATTCAAATGGGAATATCTTTCCTTTTCCCCTTTACTTTTCACTTCTCTTCTTTTCACAGCTATTTGTAAGGCCTCCTCAGACAACCATTTTACCTTTTTGCATTTCTTTTCCTTGGGGATGGTCTTGATCCCTGTCTCCTGTACAATGTCACGAACCTCTGTCCATAGTTCATCAGGCTCTGTCTATCAGATCTAGTCCCTTAAATGTATTTCCTACTTCCACTGTATAGTCATAAGGGATTTTATTTAGGTCATACCTGAATGGTGTAGTGGTTTTCCCTACTTTCTTCAGTTTAAGTCTAAATTTGGCAATAAGGAGTTCATGATCTGAGCCACTGTCAGCTCCCAGTCTTGTTTTTGCTGACTGTATAGAGCTTCTCCATCTTTGGCTGCAAAGAATATAATCAGTCTGATTTCGGTGTTGACCATCTGGTGATGTCCATGTGTTGAGTCTTCTCTTGTGTTGTTGGAAGAGGGTGTTTGCAATGACCAGTGCGTTCTCTTGGCAGAACTCTATTAGCCTTTGCTCTGCTTCATTCTGTACTCCAAGGCCAAATTTGCCTGTTGCTCCAGGTATTTCTTGACTTCCTACTTTTGCATTCCAGTCCCCTGTAATGGAAAGGACATCTTTTATGGGTGTTAGTTCTAGAAGGTCTTTTAGGTCTTCATAGAACCGTTCAACTTCAGCTTCTTCAGCATTACTGGTTGGGGCATAGACTTGGATTTCCATAATATTGAACAGTTTGCCTTGGAAACAAACAGAGATCATTCTGTCTTTTTGAGATTGCATCCAAGTACTGCATTTTGGACTCTCTTGTTGACCATGGTGGCTACTCCATTTCTTCTAAGGGATTCCTGCCCACAGTGGTAGATATAATGGTCATCTGAGTTAAATTCACCCATTCCAGTCAATTTTAGTTCTCTGATTCCTAGAATGTTGACATTCACTCTTGCCATCTCCTGTTTGACCACTTCCGATTTGCCTTGATTCATGGACCTAACATTCCAGGTTCCTATGCAATATTGCTCTTTACAGCATTGGACCTTGCTTCTGTCACCAGTCCCATCCACAACTGGGTGTTGTTTTTGCTTTGGCTCCATCTCTTCTTTCTTTCTGGAGAAAACTATTCTATGTGTGTAATTGCATACCCCAAAGAAGAAATCCAAAGCAATGGAAGAAAATAAATATGAAACATTCTAATTCAGGAAAATTCTTTAAAAAAAAGAAAAGACTTTAATTTCAAAGGAAAATGTCTGTCCAAAATCTATGCAAAAGGAGCGAGTCATTTATTTGGAAAAGAAAAGCAGATGAGAGAGTGTGAGGCTGTGTAAAAGAGGAGCTGCAGATAAAAAGAGGATAAGAGACATATCAGCCAATCAGTTCATGGACTTTATTTTGATACTGATTCAAACAAACTGATTTTGAATACAATTAGAAAGTTGAAACTGCATATCCAACAATATTAGGGAATTGTCATTTATAGATATGATAATGGCATTGTAGTTATGATTTTAAAAAATCCTTTATTTTTAGAGATACCTCCTTAAATATTTATAAATGAAATTATATGATGTCTGATATTTGCTTTAAAATAATAGAGGAGGAGGGAAAGTAATTGGATAGATCAACCAACATTGGCCATGAATTAATAATTGCTGAAGCAGTATGACAATTAAATGAGATGGTTCATGATATATTGTCTACTTGTTATAGGTTTAAAATTACTTGCAACACAGAATTTGAAAAGAATTTTTTGTCCCCAACAGGATGGATACTTCTAGCCTAGGCAAAATAAATGTGTTCCATTTTCCTAAATAAACCTAAAGACTTCTAGATTGGCACCATATGGAAATCTTTCCCCTCATGTTATGGTAGCCTGCTGCAATTGTTTAGATAAATCTTAACGTTAATTTAACTTCTTTTAACATCTGCTCAATTGAATGCATGTGTCTGAGAAGCATTTCATGGTTTTTTTCAGGATTGTGGAAAAGGGATATTATAGTGAACGAGATGCTGCAGATGCTGTCAAACAGATCTTGGAGGCAGTTGCTGTAAGTATGAAGTGACAGCAATAGTGTAACTCTTGGTAATGTCTTCCTTTTACAGAGTCATCTTTAAGAAGTATATTTCAGTGACAAACCATAAAATTCACAGAAAACCTGTATGAAATATTTACTAGAAAATGTTGAACAAATTTCTATTTTCTGTTGATAACTCATGCTCTGAAAGATGCAGTCCTCATATGTAGTGCTGTAAGTTTGTAAGACTCATTTCCAGTCTGTTTTTATGAGTAAGATCAGACTTTGGTGCCTATGGTTGTTCTTTTCTCTCTGCATTTCTTGAATTTTTCTCTTTATTGTTTTTGTTGTTTCGTAAGGAAGTGGGAAAAGGTTCAAAGAGATAAATATAGACCTTAGAGAATAGAGATTGTTGATTTTTCTTTCAAGAAAAGAAATGAGTAAATTAGAATAAATTCTGACAATTTTTTGAAAGGGAGAAGAAGTATGTTAACACTTTAAGCTGGAATAAAGCTTTATAAGTTGATGGAAACATGCACCCATATTTACACACACACAAAATGTAATTTTGAGTTCAACTGTATTGAATTAGTAGGGGAATATTTGTCTAGATAAAACAGACTCAATTGGTGAAAATCTCCCCATATATTTAGTGGTGTCTAGTACATCCTTGAGTACTCTTTCCTGGAAAATCCCATGGATGGAGGAGCCTGGTGGGCTGCAGTCCACGGGGTTGCGAAGAGTCAGACACAACTGAGCGACTTCACTCTCACTTTTCACTCATGCATTGGAGAAGGAAGTGGCAGCCCACTCCAGTGTTCTTGCCTGGAGAATCTCAGGGACGGTGGAGCCTAGTGGGCTGCCATCTCTGGGGTCGCAGAGTCGCACATGACTGAAGCGACTTAGCAGCAGCAGTACATCCTTGGACACTTTGGTGATCCTTTTATTGACTCTAAAGCCAGAACAAATTTAAAACAAAAGCTGTATTATTTTACCTACAAAGCTCTACAAAGCTTCAATTTAGGAAGCAGGTTACTACACTCAAGTCAAACATTCTTTGAGAGAAGTTTTATAAAAATCAAATTTTCTCTGATTGCTGAAAGTAAGGGTTAACTTGGAGAAAAAAGTTAAAGTGATTTTCCTTAATGTTTCACAGGTAGAAAGAAGCAATTTAAAACTTGTGGGAAGTAGCTGACATTTATGAAATAGTTTACTATCAGCTACATGGCTATAGAGAGCTATAAAAAATAAGAGAGTTGGGAACTCTAAGTAATCATTGATATATCTCATATTTCTTCTGAATCACACACTTTTAAGACTGTACCTATGCTGGTTTTTGAACCCACAGAAGTTAAAAATGTAAAGGTTCTTGGGAAATATATTGCAAGTATAATTATACCCCTTAGGCAACAAACCTTAAAACCCTTCTCTTCGCCCCTACTTCATCTCAATTCTTGCCCCAAATATTTCACACTATTTGTTTAACTGTAATCTTGCTTCTTCTGCTTTTTAGCTTTAAATAGAATTTTAAGAGCTTCTACAGTGAATATGAAAGATGTTTCCCCTTTGGGTTTGAATTCGTTCAGTCAGTCTTTAAGTGCAGTCTTTAAGCCTTCGTGAGTACTCAGCCTCTTGAAATAAATTCCAGGTTGTCCCAAGTTAAACAGTCTAGTCAGTCTGGACATTTGGGAAGGGTCATCATGTCACCTGTCATAAAGCACAAGGCCAAAGCTTAGAGCCCTCTTTTCTATTTACTTCTAGAGATAACCAGGGAATATTTAATCTCCTCTGGTAGCTGACTGTTTCTGCCACCTCTAGTCCTTTCCTTGTTACCATTGATATCCTACTGTTCCTCTATTTTCAGAAAAATCACCATCATTCTCTTTTATCCACCCCTGATGCTGCCTTCTCTCTTTTGCTAACTATAGTTCTCTTGGGCATGTACTAATTTAAAAGCCATGAACTTGGAGCCTGGAGAAACTTGCAATATAGAGTGTACAGTGAATTTAACAAAATAAAAGGAAATGGTTGAAGAAATATTAAATATGTCTGCTATCTAAAAAAATAGATTATTTTGTTTGAATTGTTTTAAATATTATAGTGGTAGGCATGAAGTGTTGCAAACAAAGTCATCTAACCCTTTAAGATTATGGGACAAATATGGTATCTGAACATCAAAGAAAGAGAGGAAATGAACATGATTATAAGGATGCAAAAAAGGATGAAATAGTGGAAGTTCCTTTTGTTAACTTTTTAAAATCTGTAATCTCCCCTAAAAAAGAAATAAATTTAGCCTGTTAGAATTAAGATAAAGAATTAATGCTAGATACTGAAGAACTGGAAAGACAAAAGGGGACACTAAGCTGATATATTGTAGAGGTAGCAGCTTCAAGACTCAGCCTCTTTTTGGACTGGAGAAACCCAATAAAGAGTTTGGATGATTAAAATTTAGAAGTTTAAAGGAGGGGCGCTATAGTCCTGTGTGAACGCTTACTGCCTGGCTGGGCTGGGGTCTTGTTTCTGAGCTCAGAGGAGCTGCCCATGAAGCTGCCCCTCAGACCTTTGAGAAGAGTGTTCTCGCCAACCAGTGCGGGTGTCACTGCAGAGGGGCCCCAGATTGGTTCTGTGAGTGCTGGACAAACTGGAAACAATGGCTGCTGTCCAAAGGATCTGCCCCTGCAAGGGATGAAGTGTTTCAAAAGTGCACGGGGCAGCCTCAGAAAGGGAGTAAGTGCCTTCGTCCTCATCCCGCCTTCGCCGTCTCCCTGGTGCCCCTAACTCAGAGTCACATGGGAGACCAGCGAGGAGGAGTATGGCTGTAACTCAGTCCCACTTCACCAAGGACTGTAAACGGCAAAGCTGAGAGACAATACCTTAATCAATGGTACTGTAAGCTGTTTAAAAACAAAAATTAATTCTCAAAATTTCTGTCTCTATTCATGCTGCTGCTGCTAAGTCACTTCAGTCGTGTCCGACTCTGTGTGACCCCACAGATGGCAGCCCACCAGGCTCCCCCGTCCCTGGGATTCTCCAGGCAAGAACACTGGAGTGGGTTGCCATTTCCTTCTCCAATGAGTGAAAGTGAAAAGTGAAAGTGAAGTCGCTCAGTCATGTCCGACTCTTAGCGACCCCATGGACTGCAGCTTACCAGGCTCCTCCATCCATGGGATTTTCCAGGCAAGAGTACTGGAGTGGGGTGCCATTGCCTTCTCCGTCTCTATTCATAGACTCTATTCATAGACTCTTTAAAGTTTTCATAGTTTTTACTAATGTGTGTGAAATGGTTCTAGAGGTCAATGAAATAAAAACAAACGCAGCAGCATTAAAAACTTACTATCTGTGTTTATAAAGGGCAATATATATGTTGTTCAACTTTACATTGTTTGACACGTTTAAGCCTTCTTCCATCCAACCTCTAATTCCTTGTTGACAGAACCAGTCTACTTTTATAAAGATGGAAAGGGCTAGAACCTCTTTCCTCATCCTCCCTTGCTGCCAAGGGCATATGACCCAATCCTCACCAGTGGGTTCTGAGGGGCCATCTATTCATGAACTGTTGGAAAAGTTTGCCTTTAATAAAAGGAGAACCAAGGGCAAAAAGGTCTTTTCTCCTCTTTACTGTCATCTTGGAGTCTATCTATGATGGGGAACTGCTTTTGCTGTCTTGTAATTATGAAGAGAAACATAACTATGATGAAGAAGGCAGAGAATTCATTTGGAATTCTCCTGTTTGATACCTCTCAGTATTTCTGCCACTTTAAGTTGTATGTCTTGTTACTTGAGGTAAAAGATACTGAACTTACTCTTAAATAAACTTTTGAGTATATACTAATAATGGTAATGTGTCAGAGCAAAGTGCATAATTTTCCATCCATCTAAACGTGACATGAAGGGCATACTCCTAGACAAAAAGATTCTGGTGCCACACTTTCCTAAACTGAATTCCACTGAATGTCAAACACACAGCCACATGCTGTGTCTGTGTGTGCTCAGTCTCTCAGTCATGTCTGACTCTGTGGGACCCCATGGACTGCAGCCCACCAGGCTCCTCTGTCCATGGGATTTCCCAGGCAAGGATACTGGATCGGGTTGCCATTTCCTTCTCCAGGAGATCTTCCCAACCTAGGGATCGAACCTGCATTTCTTGCATCTCCTACATCGGCAGGCAGAATTTTTACCACTGCACCACAGCAAGCCCCCCACATACTGATAAATCAGGATTAAGTATGATTCAAAGGGACAGTGAGGTTTAAGATTACTAACAATAAACTCGTTTCTGGCACTTGTTCTTGTGAATGTTGTTCCTGCTTCCATCCACTTATTGTCAATAAAAAGATTCTTCTGAGGAGTTCATAAGCATTGAGAGACTAGTACTGCAAATGTCGGTGGTTTTGTTGTTTGAGTTTGTCAGTTCCTGTGATGTTTTATTTTTTTCTGGGGAGATTTTGTTTCTTATTACTTCCATTTGAGCATTGATCTCTGGAGGATCGATTTTTGTGCAAGGCTCAAGGCATTAAATATTATGAGAATTTTACTGGTAAAAAGTAAATGTAGTTTCTAAGAATTGAGAGATTACATTCATCAGAGAAGAAATAACACACAGTTCTGTTAATGTTCTAATATATTTTATTTATAAACATAGAATAAAATAGATCAGTGGCTCAGGCATAGCATAGACATTTTATCAGAGAAAAGTTGGAGCAAAAAAATAAAATCTACATTCTGAAAATTATAGCTCAGTATTAAGAACTTGGAGATCTAAAAATAATGCCTGGGAAGGAGGTATTTTTCTCTAGTGTATGGAATGTTTCTGTACATCATTATTGGCAAAGATAATAATATCAAAAGTTTATCAAATTCTGAGTGGCCTTCTCTCTTTTGATTACCACGTGAATCACAATAAATTCTGAAGTACACGTCTAGGAATTTTCCAGTTTCTCTATATATAAAACATCATGTCAGTTGTTACATTCTAAATGACTTAGTGCTTCTGCAAATGTTGAATGATGTCAGTAATTCAATTCAACCATTAG